GCAAATATTTCATACAAATGCAATTAAAATACCTAAGCTGAGATACAAAATAAATAGAATTGTTATTGTTTTATTATTATTTCAGGCTTTAGTGACTTGGCTGGAACACGATTCAGAAAACAGGAGCAAAGATGCCAGTAAATTATTAGGTTTAGTCAAATTACCGTTGCTATCACCCGCGGTAAGTTCATCGACAGCTCAATTTTTTCACTCGACAGAACTTGTGCATTAGCTTAACTAATAAATCAAAACAGTTTATAGTTGAAAATATTGAGAGTAACGAAATGTTGAAAGACCAAAGAATGGTGCAGGAATTAGTAATGGAAGCATTGAAGTATCATTTGCTGCCTGAGCAAAGACCTTTGCTTCAAACAGGCAGGACGAAACCCAGAAAAGCCACTGTGGGTACGTTGTTAGCTGTCGGAGAGATGCACGCTAATAATGGTAATTTATTATATCCAAAATGAATTATTTAATATTAATCGCATAACTGATAATAATTAATCGATTACATGTAATGTAATGTAAAGAAAATATATTATGTTAATATTGTCGCACTATTTTACTTTTTCCAAGCGAAATAATTTGCAACGTACTTTCTAGGTGCAACATCTATAGATGCATTTTCATTACGCGATAATGCCTGGAGATATTTAGCAGCTATGAGCAATAGAAAATTCTTTGCCACAGTGGTATACGATAAGAAATTGATTATCGCGGGCGGTAGAAACGATTTTAATATATTTAACACAGTAGAATGCTTCGATTTTTCCACTCTTACGTGGAGCACTCTACCACCTATGAATGTTTATCGAGTAGGATTAGGTATGTGCAAATGCATGAGAATTTGCAAAATTAATGTGCAATTTCTTTCATTTATTCATAATCAAACCCTGGCAAATACGTTATAATATTCTTTCTCAGGAGTGGCAGTCTTAGGTGGACTTTTGTATGCTGTTGGTGGTCACGACGGTCGTTGTTATCTTAATGCGGTAGAGAGATGGGATCCGGGAACAGGTCAGTGGAGTTCAATATGTCCTATGTCCGTACAAAGATTGGGAGTCGGTGTAGCTGTGTTAAATGATAAGTAAGTCTTTACAGATAAATTATTAAATTTATATGTCATATCTGTTTTCAATCATTTTAATTTCCTTTTTAGTACGTGCCTTCGTATAAATATTATTTTATTAACTTTAAATCTGATTAAATATTAATTTTTTAAAAATAAAATTTGATATTAAATTTTTTATGATGTTTTAGATTGTACGCTGTAGGAGGAAGAAATATCAATTCCTGCTTAAATACAGTAGAATGTTACGATCCGCGCACGAACAAATGGACACCGTGCGCACCTATGTCGAAGAAACGAAGCGGTGTAGGCGTAGGAGTAGTGAATGGTTGTCTTTATGCACTCGGTGGTAACGACAGTTTAGCTAGCAATCCCAATGTTAGCAGATTCGACTGTGTAGAAAGGTATAAAACTGCTGTTACATTATATGTTAAAACTTTTAAGTTATATATAATGCGATGTAACAATATAGATATGATCCTAAAACCGATACGTGGACTATGGTTGCGCCAATGAGTGTGCCCCGGAGTGATGTTGGTGTGTGCGTATTAGGTGACCGACTTATGGCCGTGGGGGGATACGACGGCCAACAATTTCTCACACTAGTGGAAGCCTACGATCCACATCTCAACGAATGGGAACCTGTGAGTGTATAAACTATTCCTGTAATTGAATAGGGTAAATAGAAATAATTGTAAATATATTTTGTAAACTTAAACCTTTTTTATGTTTATAGGTTGCTCCTCTTCAGACTGGCCGTGCGGGACCCTGTGTTGCTGTTGTAAAAAATTTAACCCAATGACATGTAGATTATTTTTACTAAACGATCAGTAATTGCACTTGCTAATTATGCAATTTATATTTGTAATTGCAAATGATTTAGGTGTTTCAGAAATATGACAGAATCTGCTCTCTTGTGATATTGCATGCATGTTAAATTAGTCACATTGTTATTTTCCTGAAACAATTTTA